CCACAATCAAGTGTAACTTATGATTTGTTCAATTTGTGTAAATAAATGATTGCATAATCTTTTATGAATCAATTTGAACTCGTCTGAGTTCCCTCATTGTGTCACCCTTCACTTTGTACAGACAAATATTAATGAGAAAAAACCTTGGTAAAATTTTCTCTCATAACTTTGTTATGATAAGATGTAGGGAGACCTATTTTACATAAGTCACATATCCCTTACAAGCTCCACGCTGCATTGACACAAGTCACTAATCTCCAAGTGCACAAATATTATTTGGTGACAAACTGATTGCTCACAATCTGATTTTGTCCAAATCTACTTTACAGGTGTTAAAAACATAACGTCTGACTTTAAGCAGCTCCAGACCAGTTTGATGATATAAAGTTTTGCATGTTTCCCTCATTATTTTAATGTTGCTGACATGAAAAAAGGCATTGTTTCTGCCTGTCCTCCTTTATTTACTGAGTTTAAAGAGTTGTTTGTGGTTAGAAARAGAACTTCTCTGTGCACATGAATCAGACAGATATCTATATTTAGGGCCGTTATCATGGACATGATGAAGCACTGCAGCTAAAAGCTGTGATGCAGCCGTTCAGCAGTGCAGATACATCAAAGATCCTCTGATGTTGAGCTGCTCCACATCACTAAAACGTATCCATCAGGCTGGGTGTAGGTCCTGTGACAGCTCCTGTCAGGTTACGGTTGGTTTACAGAGTTTTAAAAGTCACTCACTGATGTGGTCCAGAGAGCCTGAGCAGAATTTGCCGTAGAACATTTTGGCTCCGAGCTCTCGGAGGTCGTAGATGGTGAAGGGCCACAGGTGGAGAACATTGTTCCTGGTGAACTCCTCCCTCTTCTCCAGCACCACCACCTGAGCCCCCAACAGGGCCAGCTCGATGGCGGTCCTCAGTCCACATGGTCCAGCACCCAGCACCAAACACTGAGAGGGAGGAGAGCAGGAAGTGAGTCGGTGGCTGGGATCAGAGACAGGAAGTGAGTCAGTGTCTGGGATCAGAGACAGGAAGTGAGTCAGGGTCTGGGATCAGAAACAGGAAGTGAGTCAGGGTCTGGGATCAGAGACAGGAAGTGAGTCAGGGTCTGGGATCAGAGACAGGAAGTGCACCAAACAGCTCCTCAGTTTAATGAACAGGAAGCTTTCTTTGATCTGAACTCAACTTTGAGTAGAAACTTTTACATCTGACCATTTATAACAATATTTACTCTTTTTGTGACATAAACTGAATCATTTCCATTTGTGGTTTATTATATGCAGCCTATAAATGTCTGAAAAATCTTTATAATATCAAACAGGATGAAGAATAGATCCCATGTCAGATCATTGAACCTTCTCAAAACATAATTTACTAAACTTTTCTGCTGTACTGTAGTTGAAATTTGTTGCTTTTATGAATTTTAGATGCTTTTCTCATGTTTGTTGAACTTTTATTAATCTACTATTTCATTGGACACTTTAACCCTTGAATGGAATTCAGAAGAATAAAAATGTTTAAAAAATCACCAAATTTGAGAAAATGTAATGTCAGATTTCTGTTTACTTTAAGTGTAAAGCTGACACAACATCAACAGGACACATATGAAACTGAGCTGGTAAACACCTTCCACCTGGAAAGAAGCAGCAACATTATCAGTGAAAAACTAAAGCAACACAAAGACAAAACACTGCTCAGATAAATCCATCCTTCTCATGAAGGCCTGCTACAGTTCACAGCTCAGTCACTGAGGGTTTTACTCTGACGTCACTCAAATAAAACACAGTATAACTGTTCAACAACTAGTATGTAAGGGTTTAGTAGTTTGTGAACGAACTAACAAAAGTCTCAACAACAAATTGTGTAACTTCCATCTGCTCTCCTGTGTAGCATTTTCCTGCATATACAGTAATTAATAATTTCTGATTAGATATAACTGGTTCTATGACTGCTTAAAGGAGGAAATCAAATCCACTAACTTCAGATTTTCTTTTTCAGGATTTCGTTTGGAGCCTTCCTTTGTGTCTCGAATTAGCATCTCTTACACAAACTCAACAGACTTCCTGACGCTCTGATGTTAATAGGTAAGGACTGCCACAAGTCCTTGTGTTTCCAACCCCCACCCCCCCACCCCCCCAATAAGGACTGCCTGCCTATTCTTCTTCGGGGGGGGGGGGATAAACGCCTTTAACCAGACTCCAGTGGCTTGAATCAAAGGAACTTACGTTCTTCACTGAATGTGAAAAAAGAACGAACCAGATTGAATGTTTTTATACAACTGTCTGTTTTTATATCAAAGAAATGTGAATTTACCTTTTCTTTTACAGAAAGAACAAAACCCACTGAAGCTAACTGTTTTTTTTTTTTGATGAAGTGTTTTTTCCTAAGAAGATGTTTCTTTTATTTCATGATTTTAAACTGTTTTATTACATGATTTAACCCTTAGAAAACCTTAGGCCTTGAATTTTTAATTAAATGTGACATTCTTATTTTACTGAGGTAAACAGATGTCTCACCCTTTAATTAGATGCAAGATAATTAAACTAAAACACTCCCTTTTTCTTTGTCCTGAAGAGAAGCTTTCCCTCCAAAACATTTGATTTGTTAAAAAACTTTTCTTGTTTAAGGTGTAATATTTTTCAATTGGCCAACTTAAAACCTTGACTCCGCCCAWAACAGAGGTTTTAAAAAGTTAGTGCAGCTCCCAAGTCAGTTAGTTCTTAGTTGGTTTTTCCTTTGAGTCCAGTGAATGCTTTCAGGAGTTCGGCAGAGGCCTCCCTGCCAGCCCCCCCATGGGCTGGGCAGGATGGGGTCATGCCACATCTCCCGCTGATTGATCGAATTGCTCTCGTTCCATATCGGCTCAATATCTGAGTTTGATTTTATAGAAGTCACAAAGCTAATGGTAATTCATGCGTCATTTTAGCTTGTTTCCTCTACAAAGTTGAAATCAAATTAAGGAGTCTTGCAGCCGCCTGGAGGACCAGACTGAGTCACCAGAGAGTGACCCCCTTCTCTGACCCAGGGACCAGTCGAATTTATCAGGCAGACCGCCTGACATCCAGCTTGCATGGAGAGCCTGTCTGGAGAACGACCCCCAGTGATGACCTTCAATCACTGACTTCCCCTCCTGGTACCCACAAGGCAGAACAAAAGCGTAAAGGTGAACATTTGTCCTGGTGACACACAGGTGCTCAGACGTAAATTTGTTTTTTATCTTTGTATGAGATTTGGTAAACTAAACGCTTTTCTCGACCTAATTTAACTAGGAGTCCTTAGTTAAATCCACAGCTAAAAGCAACTTACCTCACCTCACTCTAAAAGCAAAACTCACCTCTCAGTGTTTATTTTATGTTTATCTGTTTTGTTRATTTGTCTGTTTGTTTATTCACTCGTGATTGCAAACTCTTTCAGTTTTTACCTGGTTCAACATGTGATCATTCATTCATTACTCGCAATAGTTGTAAATACATTTAATCTGTAAATAAATGGCTCGTGGAGAACGTGCCAACATAAGCTAATCTCATTTTTGTGTCTTGATAAGAGATATTACTGGTTCTGATAAGACAAGAACTCATAAAATCATTTTGGGTACAATTTATTGT